TACCTTGTGGGCTGCAGCCTGGCCTCTCCCTGTAGAGCCTCTTTGCTGGGCACAAGAATAAAGCACCCACTAGTAGTCACCCACACTCTGTCTCTGCTGAATTTCTGGGGATCCATTCAGGAAATGTGATGAAATGGACAGGAGGGACCCCAGCAAGCCAAGGACAAGGGAGGCCACCCTGACCTCCAGAGAGCCTGGGATGAGAACCAGGTTTCCTCCCACACAGCACAAGCAAGAAACTGCCTGTCCTACTCGGGTCTGGTGACAATGACTGGTCTCCTTGGATCCAGGAGGCTCCTGCTTCTCTGCCTCTATTTGTAAGCAGGAATGCAACCACCCGGGGGCTGCTCTGAGCCATTCCAAAGCAACCCCTCCTTACTGCAAATCGGGCAATTATGGGCAACAGCACGGGTGCTCTTTGAGTCTGCTTGTATAACCCTTGGGGTGTAAATAACTCTGAGAGAGGGAACCATTTTTACCCAAGAAGCCCCTTGGCATTCCAGTCAGTCCTACACCATTGCATTCTTTGCTGTGCCTTCCAGCCAGAAAACAAAACTGACAAGTTGTTCCATCTCTGTTCAACATGTACCAGCCTTCTAGACACATCTTGTGATCTTCAAAGTAGCTTCTGTCTACTTGGGAAATCAGTTTGAACTTAAAGGACCTGCTGCCTTGAGAGGGCCGCGTTTGATCCATTGTCCCATTGTTCTGGGCGCTTTCAGTCTTGTTTCCCAATTGAATTCAAAGCTCCTTGAAGACTTGCATCCTCCTCCTGCCCTACTTACGACGACGTATGGGATCTTCACCAAGTTTGTGTCAATAAGAGGTGGGTCATCTGATTTTTGGTGTGGGAAACCTCAGGCCCAAAATATTGAGATGGAAGCCTTAAGGAAGAATTTCCTTGGCACAATCCATGACTTTGTTTGAGAGGCAGAGAAAGAGAGCTCCCATCTCCTAGTTCACTCCCCTCCTAGTGCTCTCCCCAAATCCCCATGTTGGCCCCAGGGCTGGGCTGGGCTGAAGCCTGGAGCCAGGATCACATTCTAGATCTCCCACGTGGGTGGTAGAAACCCAATGACTTGAGCTATCACACTTCCCAGAATCTGTTTTAGCGGGAAGCTGAGGTCAGGAGTCTGAGTTAGGAATTAAACTGGGAGAGGCAGGCATCTTAGCCCCTTCACCTAGGCCAGATGCCCACTCCTAGGGCATTTTTTTTTTATTTTAATTTTTATTTAGTTTTTAACAGATTCAATGTGATGTGCAGACACAACTCTAAGAACATAATGATATTCCCTTCCTCCCTGCCACCCTCCTTCCTTTTCCGTTTTTTTTTTTTTTTTTTTTGACAGGCAGAGTGGACAGTGAGAGAGAGAGAGACAGAGAGAGAAAGGTCTTCCTTTGCCGTTGGTTCACCCTCCAATGGCCGCCGCTGCAGCCGGCGCACCGCGCTGATCCTGGCAGGAGCCAGGAGCCAGGTGCTTTTCCTGGTCTCCCATGGGGTGCAGGGCCCAAGCACCTGGGCCATCCTCCACTGCACTCCCTGGCCATAGCAGAGAGCTGGCCTGGAAGAGGGGCAACCGGGACAGAATCCGGCGCCCCAACCGGGACTAGAACCCGGTGTGCCGGCGCCGCAAGGTGGAGGATTAGCCTATTGAGCCACGGCGCCGGCTTTCCTTTTCCGTTTTTAATTGATTTCAACAGCAATGCTTGGGAAGATGTGGCTCCAGGATGAACCTACTCTTAGAGTCCATTTTGCCTATTAATACTTGCAGCATTTAGGAACTTTGATCAAATGCCCCCTCACTCACCCAGAAGCTACTCTCAGATTGAATGTGGCTGGGGGAGATGAGCAAGAAGGGTGGGCTACTTCCTGCACCCCATTCCTCTTTTTTTTTTTTAAAAGATTTATTTATTTAAAAGTCAGAGTTACACAGAGAGAGAAGGAGAGGCAGAAAGAGACAGAGAGGTCTTCCATCCACTGGTTCACCCCCAGTTGGCTGCAACGGCCAGAGATGCACCAATCTGAAGCCAGGAGCCAGGAGCTTCTTTCGGGTCTCCCACATGGGTGCAGGGGTCCATCTTCTACTGCTTTCCCAGGCCATAGCAGAGAGCTGGATCAGAAATGGAGCAGCCAAGGACATGAATCGACGCCCATATGGATGCCGGCACTGCAGGCAGCAGCTTTACCTGCTACACCACAGCACTGCCCCCCCACCTCTTTACTCTTAGGACAACAGTGGGGACATGTGATGCTTCTCTGGGACTGTCCATCCTCTGTTCTTTGTGAGAGCCCCTCCCTTCTCTCTACCTAATCCCAACCCACCAATCCCTTCATAAAGCTCACATACGAATACCACCTCTACTAGGGTGTCATAGTTCTTCTACAGCTCCCCAAACTGGGCTCAGTGTTCCTCTAAGTCCCTGGGCTAATGGACCAGGCAGTTCTTCTTATTTCTGTATGATGCATTAAAAATTTATGATGAAACACTAAGAAAAGACTTAGAAAACACAAGCCCTGGTTTTTTTGTTGTTTTTTTTTATTTTTTTATTTTTTTATTTTATTTTTGACAGGCAGAGTGGACAGTGAGAGAGAGAGACAGAAAGAAAGGTCTTCCTTTTGCCGTTGGTTCACCCTCCAATGGCCGCTGCGGTTGGCGCGCTGCAGCCAGCGCACCACGCTGATCCAATGGCGGGAGCCAGGTGCTTATCCTGGTCTCCCATGGGGTGCAGGGCCCAAGTACTCGGGCCATCTGCCACTGCACTCCTGGGCCACATCAGAGGGCTGGCCTGGAAGAGGGGCAACCAGGACAGAATCCGGCACCCCGACCGGGACTAGAACCCGGTGTGCCGGCGCCGCTAGGCGGAGGATTAGCCTAGTGAGCCTCGGCGCCGGCCTAAGCCGTGTTTTTAATATTAGAGCCACCAGACAAAAAAACTGTGATTTCAAACTGCTATGAAACTTTCTGAAGAGTTTCTCTTAACTTCTGTACTGACTTCTTCTTGGACTGGCAACAAGCAGTTCTGGGATCAGCTCCCATCCCAAGTACACAGTGTATGTAGCACTGGTCTAGCCCACCTTGAAATAATGTACTGTGTTTTACTAAAACACCTGATTTGTTACAGTATTATATTTGTTTCCAGTTTTTAAAAGTGCATGTGTTTCCTTGCCCTAACCCTTACTCTCCCCAGCCAGCACGACTCCCTCCTCCTCCTCTCCCTCTGCCATCCCTCTTGTTTCCCCAGGATCCCAACAGCAAAGGAACTGGATGCCTTGGCCTTTTTGCGAGCTCCTTTATCTCTGTGTGTCGCAACTTCTCCAAAGAGCAGGTAGGAGCAAGCCAAGAACATGTTGAGTAGGAGTCGTGCCTCGTGGCTCATACCTTGGGGCAGAGGCAGTGTTGACAGCCACTAACATAGCTGACATTGCTGCAGGAGAGATAAGAGACACTCACTCTTTGTTAAGTAACCGCAAGATGTGTTTCCAGCTTCCAGCTCCCGCGCAGAGAGAGTCCAGCCCTGGGTGCCTCTAGCTCACCCTTATGGAACAGTGTGGATGCCCACTATCCATGAGGCTGCCCATCTCATCCCCGCCTGCCTTGTCTCTTCCATACCTTGTGGGTCCCAGCTCTGGCTCAGCCACCTTACTAGCCTGTGGCTTTCCCGGTGACCCAGCCTGCAGGCTCCTCCTATGGTCGTTTCTTAATCTCCACCGTCAGGTTGGTGCCTGCCCTGCCCATCTCCAGGCTGGGTGGCAGATAACAGATTCAGTGGCATATTCTTTCCTTCAGGCCCACTCCACGGTCTGTGGTAGGCAGTAGGATAAAGATAAGAGCCAAAGAGAAGAGTTGTCTCAGCGAGGGAACAGATGTGGGGCAGGCGTCCCACTTTATCCCTGTCATACGGCGTGGAGCCTCCTAATTTGGGGGTGGGAGAGTGAGGAAGGAATCCCAGCAGGCAGTGTGTCTGAAGTGTATTCCTGGGGTAGAGAAAGAGAACTGCAGAAATGGGTACGGGATGTGCAACGGATGAGAGCAGGCAAGGCTGAGAGACCCAGGCAGGCACCAGGAGGATGGAGCTGTGGGTATCCAGAGGTGACACAGACGGCGATATGGAGAGGGAGGTTGGCCCACGCCCCTGTTAGTCTCATGGGACCCCTGCAGGAGCCTTCTGCCTGTTCTCTCCACCTCCTCTCTCGTGAGCCTCTGAAAGCATAGCTCAGGTTTGTCTCTGCTCCACTTCACACTTCCCCCATTGATTTGCTATTACACAGAGAATCAAATCCGAACTCCCCACCCAGCCTCAATGTCCAGCATGGCCGGCCTCTGTGCTGCCTTCTCCAGTTCACTGCCACCGGGAGTGGGAGGGGAGCGAGAGCAGGGTGGCAGAGGGCCCAGGTCCCATGTCACTTTCCCCAAGAAGCAGGGTCCCTCAGGCTCCATTTGCTTGAGGAGACACAACTTCCATTTTCCACAAGTGACTCTAAGATAGGGCATCGTTCTGTGAGGCTACAGATATGCAAACCATTGCAGTTGGTGAAATGTTTATCACATGCACCAAGCAACACAGACAGCAGAGGTCAGCAAACTACACCCCAGGCCAGGCCAAGCCCAGGATGGGTTTTGTACAACACAAAAGAAGCTAAGAACAACTTTCACATTTTTACTTCTTTTTAAGTTCTTTTTATTGTTGTTATTTATTTGAAAGGCAAAGTTACACAGAAAGAGGGAGACACAGAGAGAGAAAGAGAGATCTTCCATCCACTGATTCACTCCCCAAATGGCCACAGCTGAGCCAGGCCAAAGCCAGGAGCCTGGAACTCCATCCAGGAATTCCCCGATGGGTGCAGGGACCCAAGCACTTGGGCCATCTTCCACTGCTTTCCCAGGCACACTAACAGGGAGCTGGATCAGAAGTGGGGCAGCCAGGTCTCGAACCAGCACTGACAAGAGATGTTGACATCACATGTGGCAGCTTAACTGGCTGCGCCACATTACTGGACCTTTTTTTTTTTTTATTTTTTTAGATTTTATTTTATTTATTTGAAAGAGTTGCTGAGAGAGGTAGAGACAGATAGAGAGGTCTTCCATCTGCTGGTTCACTCCCCAGATGGCGGCAATGGCCAGAGCTGTGCTGATTCAAAGCCAGGAGCCAGGAGCTTCTTCCGGGTCTCCCACATGGATGCTGGGGCCCAAGGACTTGGGCCATCTTCTACTGCAATCCCAGGCCATGGCAGAGAGCTGGATAAGAAGAGGAGCAGCCAGGACTAGAACTGGGGTCCATATGGGATGCTGGCACCTCAGGCCAGGGCTTTAACCCGCTTTGCCACAGCACAGGCCCCTGGCCCTATTTTTACTTCAATTTTATTATTTTGTTTATCTGAGAGGCATAACGAATATTAATTTGCATATTTATATATTTTTAAAATTTATTTTATTTGAAAGACAAAGCAATAGAGACAGGGAGGTACAGAGAGAGAGATCTTCCATCCACTGGTTTATTCCACATCTGCTGGGACTGGGGGCTGAAACCAGGATCCAGGAACTCCATCTTGGTCTCCCACATGGGTGGCAGGGGCCCAAGCACTCGGGCCATCTTCCTCTGCCCTTCCAAGTACATTAACAGGGAGCCGGACCAGAAACAGCTGCCAGGGCTTGAACCGACACTCCAAAATGGGACGCTACCAGCACAAGCGGCCGCTTAACCTACTGTGCCACACCACAGCCCCTACACCTTATCTTCATGTAAGATCGCATTGGTTGGCTGTTGCCACACTAACATCGCAGAGGAAGCTTCCACAATATCCAGGGACTTAAAATCGTAACCTCTATTCTCACAGATGTGGGCTCAGCAGTGGCCCTGGTCCCTCCACTCTGCTTCTTGCTTTAGATCTGTAGGTTGGTGAGGACAGCTTTGCCCCTGGGAATCGACAGCTTTCCGGGGAGCCTCTTCTCATGGCAACACCAGGGCACACTGCCACATCCACCCTCACGTCACTGGCCAAAGCAAGCTGTACAGCCAACCCCAATCAAGGCATGGGGAGTATCTCCTGGGGTGAGGACTTGGGGCCGGTAATACAACTGTATTTGTCCCCCACAAAAGCATTAACTTTAAGGGGGATATTGGGGTTGCTTTGGGGCATCCAGTTAAGCAGTCGAACTTCTTATCTGGAATATCTGGAGCTCAGAAAGATCTAGAATGTAGACCTAGGCTCAGCTCTTCTGCATGAAGTGGCAAGCAAAGACCCTCAGGTGACTGCACCTGGATGAAGTTAGAGCATCACCAGGGTGATCAGGCGCAGGAAGATAATCCAATGAAGGAGATTCAGACAGGGAGAGGCAGAGGGGCAGGAATAAGAAAGGAGAGAGTTTAGAAACTGGGTACTGCAGGGGCAGGTGCTGGGCACAGCAGCTAAGACATTGCTTAGAATACCCACATCTCATATCAGAGTGCTTGGGTTCAAGTCCTGACTCCACTCCCAATTCCAGCTTCTTGCTAACGCACACCTTGGGAGGCAACAGGTTATGGCTCAAGTACTTGGGTCCCTGCCACCCATGTAGGAGACCAGGATTCGGTTCCAGGATCCTATCACCAGCCTGCCCAGCCCTAGATAGTGCACATATTTGGAGAATGAAATGGCAGATGGAAAATCTGTCCATCTGTCTTTATTGCCTTTCAAATAAATTTTGACAGAAGGCTAAAGAAAGCTGGAGAATGCAAATAGTACTGAAGGCATCGAGTTCCGAGCAATGTGCCAGACTTCTGCTCGTGGAACATCACCCTTAGAGGAAGGACTCCCGGCAGCTCTGACGGGGCCAGATCCCACTTGCTGTAGGGTGCGGCAATGCTGGGTGGACCAGGGCTTTTCTTTCGAGCTCTGTAGCAGCCAGGCATTTCTTCTACTCCATCCCACACTAGATCTGTACCTGCCACTTCCATCAGGAGCAGGGATGACTTGCAACTCTGTTACAAAACCTGGTGGAGAGAGGGGGTGGCTAGGAAAGGCTGCTTGGCTCGGTGAGGATGTGAGGATATCTATTTAGAGGCATCTGGTTCCTGCCCTGCACGAAGCTGAATCCCTGGCCGGTGCCCTTAAGGACCTCACCACCGGGGGTGAGGGAGGCAGGGGGCAGGCAATACAGAAAGGACATCTCAGGGGGAAGATCATGAACTAGACCTTACTCTGCCGGCTCCTCTGCTCAGGAGCCACCAACCTGAAGTTGGTTCAGTGTTTGTATACGACACTGACCTGAGGACCCTGACCTCTGAAGTGAAAACATGCCTTTGTGTTACATAAAATAATCCTCCTTTTCCGCCCGTCACGATGTCTGGGCGGCCCCCTTTGGCTCCTCCTGTAGCAGCTGAGACGGGTGTCACATCCTGTGGGCGTCAGCTGACTGCAGAGAGCGCCTGCTGACTTCAGCTTTCCTGATGAACCAGCGAAGCTGTCAGATGTCTCTTCACCCAGAGAAGCCAGCAGCCCCTTCTGTTTTGAAATCCATGTGTGGCAAGACTGTGACTCATTTCCCTCAGCCTGCTGAGTCCCACTGCTTCCTTCTTAATCCAGACTCTGGGGTACCTTCCGCCCCAGAACTCACTGCCCGGAGTGGGCGGACTCTCAGACTGACAGGGAGCCCAGCTGCTCCTGATATAACAACTCTCTGGGTAAAAAAAAGCATGTGCTTATTTGAAAGACAAAGACATACAGAAGGAGAGGCAAAAAGATCTTGAATCTGCTGGTTCACTCCCCAAATGGCCACAATGGCCAGCGCAGGGCTGGGCAGAGGCCAGTATTCTGGAGTTCCAGCTGGGTCTCCCTCGTGAGTGGTGGGGACCCACCTACTTGGACCATCCTCCTCTGCTTTTCCAGGAGCATTAGCAAGGAGCTGGATTGGAAGCAAAGCAGCTGGGACTCAAACAAGTGCTCATTTGGGATGCCAGGTGGGCATAGCAGACAGCAGCTTCACCCAGTGGGCCTTAATCCCTCCTGAGGGCAGCATCCACCTGTTAGAGGTGCCATTCCCCGCCCCCCCCCCCAAGTAGCACCACACTGAAGACTCGTGGGGGACATCCAAACCATAGCACCTGTGCCTCACAGCCCTGAACCTCTCCCTCCTCCACTCACCTAAAGTCTGAAGTGGAAATGTGGTTAACCAGAGAGCCCCATGTCTTGGCCCAGCCACACAGCAGGGCACTCGGCATTGTGTTCGGCAGAGGTTCTTAGTCCCTTTGAGTCCCCGGGGACAGCAGAACGGCTCCTTTGTTCCTCTCTCCCAGGACTGTTGTTCTCAGAGCCTCTGCTCCGGCTTCATCATCTTGCTTTGACCCCGTGGTGGTTACTGATCATCCCTTCTGACTTCCCCCACTGTTCTCCTCTTGTCTCCAGTTTTTCTCTCTTCTTGTTACCTCTGTCCTTCTCTGTTAGAATAGCATTGATGTCTACCTGCCCTTTCTTCACCGTTCTTGTTCCTGAGCCTTTAATTCCTACTGCTGTGTGGAGCTGGCCTTGGGCAATGCCAGGTCTTCTGCTTCCCTCCCTGTCCCAGCTCCTTCTCCCTCCAGGAAGCTCCTGCTCCCTGGCTTCGGAAGCTCCCGTTCAGTGCGCCTCTGTGGATGGCTCTCCATCGCTTTGCACGCCTCCTCCTTACTGTCTGGAGCACTAAGGGAGGCGGGGCCTCCTCTGGGCTGTGACCCTGGCTCTAAATTGTCCTTGGATCAGACCTGAATGCAAGCAACCAAACAGTTGTGGCTGCAGTTCTGATGGCTCACTCTTCTCTGGGGAGAGAGCCTGCACGTGCATCCTACGGTATCTCTTTCACTTCCTGGGAATAATCTCCCTTGCTCAGCTGTCTTGCTTGACCTCTGCTTAGTCTTCACTCCCCGTCTCCAGCGAGCCTTTCCACGCATGTGATTAGAAGACTAAGGCTTCCTCCTCATCCTCTTCAGACCACCTGTCAATGCCGGGTCTCTGCCCGACCCATTCTTCCTCTCTCTCGCCTGAAGATTGAGGGGGTACTCAAGGGCACAGACGTGCCACCGAAGGCACACTTGGGTTTAACTTAACAGACTAGACGTTTCCCAGCACAGACCCTGCCCGCCCTCAACTGCTCCTCCCCCACCCAGAATCATGAATCCAGAATCATGCTCCAGCACCTTCAGACTTTCGCCCATCCTGTCCTTTTTCCTCTTGAAACTCTGACAGCACACCCCCAGTTCCAGACACCATCACCCCACCACTACCCCTACGGCTCCAATCCCCGTGCCTCTCCCAGTACAATTCTAGGACCTTAAGCTGGAGGTCCCCTGAAAAGCCCTCAGTGCTGTTCTCTGCCCCCAGTAGCCTCATCTGCAAGGCATAGACCTTACACTGTCACCACTAACACCCAACATGGCCTGGGCAGTTTTATTTACTTGAAAGGACGTTTTTTATTTGTCTTTGCCCATCTCTACCATGTTGACACCCAGCCAAGGGTGCCCTTACCAGAGCCAAGCAGGTGCTGACACCATGTTCTTCTTTTTTTTTTTTTAAGATCTATTTATTTATTTATTTAAAGTCAGAGTTACACAGAGAGGAAAGGCAGAGAGAGAGAGAAAGAGAGAGGTCTTCCATCTGCTGGTTCACTCCCCAGTTGGCCACAATAGCTGGAGCTGCACCGATCTGAAGCCAGGAACCAGGAGCTTCTTCTGGGTCTTCCAAGGGGGTTCAGGGGCCCACAGACTTGGGCCACCTTCTACTACTTTCCCAGGCCATAGCAAAGAGCTGGATCAGAAGTGGAGCAGCCAGGAGTTGAACCGGAGCCCATATGGGATGCTGGCACCACAGGTGGTGGCTTTACCCAGTATGCCACAGCGCCAGCCCCACCATGTTCTTAAATTCCCAAAACTGGGGCTGACCTGTGGCACAGCAAGTAAAGCCACTGCCTGCAGCACCACATCCTATATGGGTACCGGTTCAATTCCTGGCTGCCCCGTTTCCAATCCAGCTCCCTGCTAATGTGCCTGAGAAAGCAGCAGAGGATGGCCCAAGTGCTTGGGCCCTTACACCCACACGAGACACCAGGAAGAGGCTCCTAGCTTTGGTCTGGCCCAGCTCTGACCATTGCAACCATTTGACAAGTGAACCAACTGATGGAAGATCTCTTACTCTCTCTGTCTCTCCCTCTCTCTCTGTAACTTTGTCTTTCAAATAAAATGAACAAACCTTTTAAAAAAAAAAAAAACCTCAATAAAAAAATTCCCAGAACTTTCTTCATTAATACTCAACCCCAGGTTTTTTGTTATAGCCACAGAAAAGTGACAAACACAGCCATCCTATGTTGCTGCTGCTGACCACATGCTTGGTCAGGAGACTTAGGCACCTTGCGTTCCTGCAACAGACACATAGAGCTGTCCAGACCACAGTGCAAGCACAGGACTGACAACTCCGACTCAGAAATGCCAGCCCTGCCATCCTGGGCCAGAGGAACACCTTCCTCCTGCTGCCACACTGAGAAGTCATGACCACCGCCTGGCGTGGCGGCGCTCCTGTATGGGCTGCTCACCGGGCCTCTATGGGTCACCCATTGCTACCGCAGCAAACCGCCATGAAACTGTGGCTGAAATACACAGATCGATTATCTGTGGCAGGCAGAAGTCAGCAGGGCCGTGCCCCTCCTGGAGGCTCCAGGGGAGAATCTGTCCCAGAGGCTGACCGGCCATGTTCACTGAGGACTCGTGGCCACGTCACCAGGGTTCTGCCTCCGTCTTCAGATCTCCCTTGGCTGAGCCTGCTGCCCACTCCTTCTCACAACCGTGTGCTTACAGACGGCATACCCAAATAATCCAAGCTAATCTCTTCCATCTCAAACCTTTAACTTCATTGTATCTCTGAGGCCTCACTGGGCACTTGAGGCAACATTCACAGGTTCTGGGATGAGGACATCAACATGTCTGGGCGCTACCACTCAGCCTCCCACAGTGCCCCACAGAGGGACAAGCACGGCCATCACATTAGTACTTGGGAACTAGTCCAGACTAATGGGAAAGCACAAATGAGAATGTAACAGAGACCTCTTTGCTCACCACTCAGCTATGTCCAGTGTAATGTCCAACATTGCACCATGTTTGCTGCCTATTGTTTCAAGTATTAAAACAAAATATTGAAGATTCAGCAAAAGCCCCCAAGGTAATCTCCCCAAGCTTTTCCTCTTTTCAAGGGGGTTCAGAAGCCAGCGTCGTGGTGCAGTGCTTTATAGTGCTGGCCACAGTGCTGGCAGCTATTGCACCGGGGACAACAGCAGAAGATGGCCAGGTTCTTGGATCCCTGCCAGACACATGAGAGACCAGAATAGAGCTCCTGGATACTGGCTTCTGCCTCGCCCAGCCCTGGCTGTTGCAGCCATCTGGGGAGTGAACCAGTGAATGGACGATCTCTCTCTCTCTTTGCCTCTGTGTGTGTGTGTTTCTCCCTCTCTTCTCCATCACTCTACCTTTAAAATAAACAAATACTAAATCTTTTTTAAAAAAAACATATAAAAAGAAAATTCAGGCATTTTCTTAAATTTAGCAATACCACCTGTAGGCATACCTTCATATTTTATATTTTAGAGTCTCTTTGCCAAATACAACTCGAAGTTGAAGTCTAATCAGTTACAGGTACACATGATGCAACCCCACAGTAATCACCTTCAGGAATGATCCTTGGCTCCACCCCTCCTGCCCCGGCCGCCACTCCACTCAGAGAGCACCAGTCCCAGGGTGGGGGTGACGTGGAAGCCGGAGTCAGCTGTTTTCTCCAAGACAGCGGTTGCCACACACAGGAAAATTCTAATACATGACACAGCCCCTAAATGCCTGGCAACCACCTCACGTGAGGCTCAGCAGGAGGAAGACAGGTGGCGCAGGGCTGGGGGAAACCCTGGCTGAGTCAGCTCCACACTCAAGCAGGACGATGGCCTCGGAGTTCCTCCTTGTTCTTTGATTGTGAAACTTAACTCTCCCCTGAGATGCAGGCCCAGGGGAAGGAATCAAGCCTGAAGGCTCTGGCAGAACTTACCCAAGAGGAACGGGAGGAGTGGGAGGCGGAGGGGGGGTGTCAAGGACGCTCCTGGCATAGGGAACAGCTCATGCAAAGAAAAGGTGGCCTGGGGCAGGTGTCTTGGCTGAAGCGTGGAGCAGATGAGAAAGGGGGCGGAGCAGCTCTTCTAGGGCCCTGTGTGACCCCCTGCAGAGCCTGCATCTTATCCTCCAGGTGATGGGGAAGGTGGGCCTGACGTAGAGGAGGGGGTCAATTTACCTGAGTGCGGATTCTGGCCATGGTACTTGATTGATGTTTATGTGGGGGAGACAGGCAGGAAGATAGGTAGGAATAGGTGAGCTGGAAGATGTCCCTGATAACGTCTGCCTCTAGCCCTTCATTGTAACTCCACCCCTTACCCATCAGTCTAGCATACCCACTTTCCCATGATGCTCCTGGTTCTCATCCATGCCCAGGAAGGAGGAGATGCCATTATGGCCGTGTGAAGGAGCGAAACTCCCAGAAAGCCTCGCACATACTAGACCTCACCCAGGCCGCACTCTATTTGTATGTTCAATTAGGGCGCCACTCTCTACCCCATAAAAGAGGCCCGAAGCGGCCTGTTTGCCTTTTGGCTTCTTGGCCCTCGTTGGTCCTTCTCCAGCCTCTCCTCATCACCATGGTCCCCGCAGGGGATCCTCTGGCCCACTCATGGCAGTGTCTCCCTGTGAGGGGCAGCCCACTCTCACACGGGAAAGGATATTCACTCTCTAAATCCCGCTGTCACTTGCGAGCTGTGTTTGTGCCTCTGCTTTGAATTCTTATCTCTGAGTGGGCAAGAACTTGGAATAAGAAAATGGAGATAGGCTGGCACCGCGGCTCACTAGGCTAATCCTCCACCTGCGGTGCCAGCACCTGGGGTTCTAGTCCCGGTCGGGGCGCCGGATTCTGTCCCGGCTGCTCCTCTTCCAGTCCAGCTCTCTGCTGTGGCCAGGGAGTGCACTGGAGGATGGCCCAAGTGCTTGGGCCCTGCACCCGCATGGGAGACCAGGAGGAAGTGCCCGGCTCTTGGCTTTGGATCAGCGCGTGCGCCGGCCGTAGCAGCCATTTGGGGGTGAACCAACGGAAGGAAGACCTTTCTCTCTGTCTCTCTTTCTCACTGTCTAACTCTGCCTGTCTGTGCTCGATGCTAAAAAAAAAAAGGGAAGAAAGAAAGAAAATGGAGATACAGAGGACCATTCGATGTGACCCCTGGGAGGTCACTTGGGCCCTGTGATCCTGCCTCCTCGGTAGAACCAGCACAGCTTGCTGAGACAAGCCCCGAGGTGATGCAGTAAGAACTGCCCGGAATGGAGAATCTGGGCACCCAACGTCCTTTGCCTTCCTGTTTGTTGCTGTTACTGGAGGCGTCCACCCGGGAGGGGCGGGAGCTTTTTCCTGGCTCACTGCCAGGTTAGAGAAGCGAGGATTTGTAGCCGCAGGGCTCTGCGGGCAGATCCTTTCTTGGCGTGCCCTACAGAAGGTTCCGGGAAAGTCGCCAGGCGGTGCAGTGTGTGGTGGGAGTTTCCCAGCAGCTCAGCCTCCCAGAGAGCCAGAGAGCAGAGCTCAACAAAGCAGTCCCAGAGGCCAGGACTCCCAGCTTGCTGGGCTCCCTACCCCAGCCCTACCTTAGGCCCCCATCGCTGCCAAGTGGGTCTCACAGCAGAGCCTCGATCTTAGGAATTCGGGGCCTTTCCTTACTCT